CAGACACTAGACATCAGGTGACCCTGGCTTCAGTAGTTGGCAAGGGATCTGCCCTATGCTGAGCAGGAGTTCAATGAGTTTCCCTTTCCTCCCTCTGTTCTTCCTTGCTTTCTGCTGCCTGCAAAGCAGGTGCCATTCGCTGCTATTCTAACTCCAAAGAATTCCTTCCTTACCTACACTCATCAGACCTACTTGAGAATTCTTTCTTGTTCAGAGTCAGAAACCCTTCCCTGTCCAGGTTGAGGTTTCACCTAGAGCACAAGGAGAGACCTCCCCAGACGCCCAGCAACTGTACTCTTATTGGCCAGGCCTGAGTCATATACCAAACCATGAGCCATGTGACAGAAAGTAACAGAAGACTGATTTCTCAAAGGAAATTTAAGGCACAATTATCAGAAAAAGAATAAAAACGAGAAGGCAAAACACCAGATGTCCACTATGCATGCAATAGACATCAAACGTGGAAATTTACCATGAAGGTAATAAAGCCTATCTTCAGGGAACTTCGCTTGCATAGGCTCCTTCCAAGACCATATTTCTAATTTTGTACTTAAATTGTGAGATTCTTTTTGTTAAAGAAGGGCCCCAAAGTTTATATAAACTTTAGAACTAATAAAACCTGGAAGTACACCTAATAAAACCACTCAAAAATATTTTTGAAATTAATCAGTCCCAATATACTGTGCTTTCTCCTGTTTTTTAGTGTAAACTATGTATTAGATGGTTTAGTTACTAAATTCTCTGCAATAACTTAATCTTTTTTGACACTAACAGAAAATAACTTGATCATTCCATTTAGATCCTTCAAACTCCTCAAACCTCAGCCTCTCAGTGTATTTTTCATGGCCCATATCACACACCCACACAGATAAGGTCCTTTCATTTTGCCCCTCCTGGAACTGTGCTCCCAGGGGAAACCGGCTCCTAGTTGGAGATGTGCATCATTGAGTCCCACTGTGGTTCCTCACAGCACCAAGTTGAAGAAACTTACCAGTTGCTCACATTCATTCTAAGCTAATATTCATTTGTTGAAGATTCCAAATCAAAGTGAATTCTCCAAAATTACTGTAAACAGAACATGAAACATAACGTGGATCTTCCATTGGAGGGAATCTCAGATGTGAAGTGGGTCAAAGGTTTATACCTGTGGAGGACCCACTATTAGGGCCCTGCCAAAGCTGGGTCTGGATGATCAGAAAATGTGCCCTTGTAGGGATTCCCGACTAAACTTTACACTTCTATTTGGCAGTCAGACAGCCCCAGGAATGTAAATTCATGCTGTTTTGAATGTGGGGGAAGGTGAGGGAACTAGGCCTGCCTGCTGCTATTCTGATTACAGCATTTGTCCCTGGAAGAGACAGCTTAGCAGTTGATGCTGTTTTTCTCCCCTCTCAGGGAAATGGTTTGGGCTGTGCATCCGGGAAGGCCAAGGGGCACCTACAAATGACAATTTCCCTTTAATTCCCCTAGCAGGTCTCCAAATCTGTAGTCCTTCAGATGTGGCATTGAATTTAACTCATCTATTCACCCCTCCCACCTCTCGCAGGAAATATGGCATGGAAATAGGGCGGTGCAATTGTGTTGACTTTTTTTCTTCCCTTTTAACTTGTTGAAATTGTCTCTAGGCAGAAGAAGCGGGGAGTAGAAACCAGATGGTGGTAGTTGGAGTGAAAACCTACCACTGAGGAGCTTTGAGGGGTTCAAATCTGGTGGCAGTCACTATTTCCCTGCAGGGAACGGGATTGAAATAAGAGTGTTGGCAAAAGATTTCCAGAAGACTGACCTCCAGTGTTCTATTTCTCTGTTCTGTCACATGCATGTAAAATGCAGCCCTTTTCCCTTAATTCTCCAAAGCACCACGAACTTGGGTTAGAGCAGACTCTAAGTTTGGTGTGGGTGGGGGGCTAGTTATTAGTGGTAATGAAAGGGATTTGTATCACAAGACTCAACTGATTTACAAATGAAGATTATCTATCTTTCCTTAAAGCCTCTGAGCTCTCTGTACCTTCCTCCTCAGCATCCTAACCCTTGCCAAATCCCAGAAAATCACCTGATGTGTTCTTAATCTCCCCTAACAGAAGCAGAAAGGACATAGAGACTTAAGGAGAGGAACAGTCAGAGAGCTGGCTAAGAATTTACCTCTTTTATCTTTCTATATTTGGGGAGACTCAGCCACCAGAAGAATCCTTCACATTGGTCTCTTTGCCTTCTGAGTTCCTGGAGAACTGCAGTACCCCTAGGTCTGGGGTAGGGCTAAGGCCTCCCTCTCCACTCTTTGCTAGGGAAACTGACTCCCAGTCTTTTGTGAAGTTCTATGCAAATGTAGCTCAATATCCATTCAGACATCCACCTGGTAAGTTTTTTTCTCCGCAACCAAATACACGGTACCTCTTTCAACATAACTTCTCCAACTCTCCAACACAAACCCAGTGTCCTACCGTTGTCAGGCAGCTGCCTCTGGGGAAGTCTCTCCCTGTGCACTAGGTGAAACCTCAACCTGGACAGGGGAGGGTTCTTGACTCTGATAGAGAAAGAATTCTCAAACAGACCAGATGAGTGTAGATATGAAAGAATTCATTAAAGTGAGTAGCAGTGAATGGCAGCTGCTTTGCAGGCAGCAGAGAGCAAGGAAGAACAGGGAGAAAGGAAAGCATGTTGAACTCCTGCTCAGCATAGGGCAGATCCCTTACCTACTCCAGAAGCCAGGGTCACCTGGCCTCCAGTGCCCATGTGAATCTGCACACTGTGGGAACTAAGACCCTACCACCCTTGGATTTGGAGGCACCGCAGTGCACTGGATGGAGTGAGTTCTAACAAGCTGCCAAAGGCAAAGAAAGGAAATTTTCAGGCAGGCTGTAAAGAGCATGATCATACAGCTGCAGTCCCATCCAGATCACCCAGGCAATGGGAGCTTAAAAACCCCAACCAGAGATCGTAGTAGCCCTTCCCTCCTTGTCTGAAGTAGTACAGAGAGAGAGAGAACACTAGTGCTTAAGTCTATAATATAGACTGAAATATCAGAGAAACAAGACACTAACCACTGGAAGAGTACAGAGACAAAACACAGCAGGTTGAGCAGTGAGAAGTCTTTATATAAGGCAAAAAGTGCACACTTGAAGGGGAATGCAGGCAACCTCAGGGAGGAGGCATGCTTAAGGCTTTAGAATTCTGTCTTTGAAGGCTTTTGAGAACAGGGCAAAGGTTGGGGGTGGGATGGGTAGGTCGTAGGCTTGGCATGTGGTCTCATGATGTTTCTCTTCAGTAAGAGACGTTATGTCACCATCCACTGTCAGTCCTCTAGATATTCTGTAAGATAAATTTAACACAAGGAATTTATGGATTTTGTTCTTCTCCAAGGTAATGGTTACCCTCAAGCACTGGGAACATAGCAGTTAGGGCTGCTTGCCCTGCCTTAACATAGGTTGTTGGCTGATTACCAAAGAATACGTTAGGAATCTTACCTCCAAATTCCCTGGTTTTTAAAATGGAGTCTTAGCCTTAAAATGGAGTCCCTCCTGTTCTTACTACACTGTTTATATCGACATTTTACATCATAGGCAGGAAAAATTAACCGTGCTGCTTGTCCCGTGTCCCTGCCTTAACTCACTACCATTCAATGACACTACCTACCAGGAGTCAGTGTCACACTTCGCATGTTTAAGGACTCAGTCCCACAAGACTGCCCCCACTTCAGAGGCTAGTCACAAATATTAAGTTTCTAGGTGACCCATACTTCTGTCCAACTTGACTACAATTTCAGGGGCTCTCATGAAGCCTCCTCAAATTCAATAATTTGCTAGAATGACTTAATAGAACTTGGGAATGTGCTTTACTTGCCAGTTGATTATAAACAATACAACTCAGGAAGAGATGCATAGCAAGTATGAGGGGTGCAGGGTAAGGAGCTTCTAAGCCCTCTGCAGGTATGCCACCCTTCCAGAGACTCCATCTCCACCAACCCAGAAAATCCCTGAACCCCACTGTTTAGGGAGTTTTACGGAGATTTCATTATCTAGGCATGCTTGATTAAATCACTGCTTACTTGTGATTGAAACAGTCTCTAACCCCTTTCCATGCCAGAGAAGTTGGAGGTGGGACCTTAGAAGATTAATGGGGAACTTCTCACTTGTTCTTCATGGGGCTTTTCAGCACTTTAGTTCCCCTGTGGCAGACCTCTTTATTTGTCCCTTCCAAATAAATCATTCATGGGCACAAGCATTCTCAAAGCATTGGTGTTGAATGCCCACTCCACCTCTCTTCCTCCCAGAAGAATCTTAGGGTGGCAGTGTTAAGTGTAGACTTAGATGGCCCAGGAACTCACTCTGGCCCCTTTCAAGCAGGCATCCTGTCCATTCTCCTGAGCCACTTCCATTGGCCTCTTGGTTTCTGATGTCCCATAGAGGAGAATTGGGTTACTTTGAGTGCCCAGGGAACTCCAAATGTTGACTCTAACTTATTCAAGTCTTTATTGGGAAGCTCAGAGCTGATCCTGAGACTCTGGGATGCAAGATCAGGAGTTTTACTAGTTAAAACAGGATGGAATTAGGACCAGCTTCACTGAAGGCTTTTGTGCGTTCTGTCCCACCACTGTGGGTCGCCTTCTCTGCCCCCTCCCCTGCACACACCTAACAAAGATAGAAAAGAAAACTCAAGCAAACAAAGCTTTCCTTTTGTCATCAAGAGATCTTCCTTTTGAAGCAAAAACCCCACTCCCTCCTGCGTTTGGGTTTTGATTATCTGTGGTCCCCAGTCTGTTTCAGATGGTGAGGGCCTCAAGCCCACATGGGCTGCTTTGGAACACGTGTTCAGGTCCCAGCATGTGGTAATGTGCTCCACTCTGATGACACTTTTCGTTTCTAATAATAGAACCGATGAAGTAATATTGCAATTGATGTTCCCGGGGATTTGATTGGATAAGTGCATAAACTGTGGAGGGGGAAGGGGGTTGTATGGACGGATCACATTAGTATTCCTGTCCTATCAATGTGCGGGGCCGTGAACAACGTCAGCCGGACTGACTCCCTGCGTCCGCCAGTCCCGCCACGGATTCATTTGGGATCCTCAAACAGAGGAGCCCGTAGAGACGAAGGATCAAGGCAGCCGTTTAGAGCCAATTGCCTTCTTCGGGGACTGCCAGCCCTTCCAGGCCTGGCGACGGGGGAGGGAGGGAAAAGACAGCCGGGCGCCGCTGCGGGAAGACGCTGAAGCAAGAGCGACACTCGCCCCCCGCCCCCACCTTGCAGCGCAGGCTTTGAAAGCTTCTCCCCCCATCTGAATGGAAACTCGGAACCGCCAGGCGGCAGGTTCCTTCTCGCCCAGCCTTGCAATCCATGCCGAGGGGAAGGCGGTGCGAGCCCGCGCCAGCGCCCAGTTCCCGGGACAGGGCCGGTAATGCTAAGCAGAACTTAACCGAGCCTCTTCCTCGCTGCTAGTGGAAGCGATGCTGCACGGCACAGCCAGCGCTTCCCCGGCTCTCCTTCAAGCTGAAGGTTACCCACCCGCGCAGCCAGCCCTAACCCTGTGAGCGTCCGGCCTCGGGTCCCAGCTCCGGCTGCTTGGCGTCGGCACGCAGGGCAACTACTGGGCCGCCCGCGCTGGGGCGCACTGCACCAGAGGCTTCGGCTTGGTGGATGTGTATGCATGAGTTCTGCACCGAATGGGCGCAAAAAGCGCCCCAGCCGGTCCACCCGCTCCTCAATCTTCCAGATCAGCAAACCCCCGCTGCAGAGCGGCGACTGGGAGCGCAGGGGCAGCGGCTCCGAGAGCGCCCACAAAACCCAGCGAGCCCTGGACGACTGCAAGATGGTAGGTGAAAACTGAGCCTTTCGGCGGGGGAGGGGGCAGATTTTGTATGTTGACCGTTTGCTTGAGTACCAGCCACTCCCCCACCCTCAGCTCCTCCTTGTCGATCACGTGCACAAGCACTATTTTTAAATCTGCCGTCCCCCAAATTCAGGTGACACCCGGGTCGTAACGGCCCCGCAAAGAAGTGCACTGCAAGGATTTTGGGGTCAGCAGCTGTAGGTCGTGCCTCTAACCTGCCTAGGGTAATGGAGGATGTGACAGATGTGAACTGACACTCTCACCGGGGAGGGAGGGGATGGAAAGTGGGGGTGCTGCTTTGTGGGGAGACAGTAGCAACCGACCCAAACAGAGCGCACGGGGCGCTGCGGAGGGGGCGAAGGTTCCAGCGCAAAGGCTGTGGCCGGTCTTCCCATCAGCCTCCGCAGCCAGGGGGGTTCAGTGGCCCGGGAGGAGGTGAATGGTGTGCGTACTTACAACCTCCCTTTGGCCCTTATCCCCAAGCAACTTCCAGTCTCCTAGCTGTAGTGGAGTGGAATGTCTGTGAGAGCTTTCAGCATCACTTCCTAGTGACCTGGCAGGAGCAGGGCTGCCTGCAAATATGTCATTGCTCTTCAGAAATGAGTCTGAAGGGTGGGGGCAGGTGGGTCTGGAAATAGAATTTCCATGACCAGACTTCCCAGTGAAGAATAAATGTGTGCCTTGGATGAAGAGAACTGACTGTCTTTGCACCTTAGTCTTTAAACACATAGTAGGCTCCTTAGCTGGAGATCTGGGGAGGTGGCCCAGGGGTTAGTGAAAGCCCCTGTGAATGTGCCTGAAACAGGAAACTGTGATGATAAGTTCTTCCTTATCCTTAAAGAAACTTGCTTCTTTTCTAGCTGGTCCAAGAGTTCAACACACAAGTGGCCCTGTACCGAGAGTTGGTCATTTCTATTGGGGACGTCTCTGTCAGCTGCCCCTCACTCCGGGCAGAAATGCACAAGACAAGAACCAAAGGCTGTGAAATGGCCCGTCAGGCACACCAAAAACTTGCTGCCATCTCAGGGTAGGAGCCTCTTGGCATTATTTGAATATATATGCATAGTGCGTGGATGCCACAAGGCCTCAGAGATGATCTCTGCAAATTTGGGGTTTTAACCAATCATCCTGACATCAGGATCTCAGGAGAGCAATAAACAAACTACAGGCCAAATTATAATCTGAAGGTTGTGTGGTTCTTGTATATATACTGAAGATTTTGGTCATTAAGTGATTTTTTTAAAATTAACTTTCAATATGCTGGCTACATATTAGAATTTGGGTCTTAAGGGGTGTTTTGCAGAATGTTTGGGCATCAAACTGAAGTCAAATCCTCATGCCTCAAGATTATTTTGTCATCTGCCACTAAACATCTACTGCACAAGAGGCCCGTACAGTAGAGAGAAAATCTTTGCTAAATCCCAGATCTACTAAACTATTTATACCATGAGGAAAATTCCTATGATACCATTTAAAACAAAATTCCTGAAATAAAATCTTGGATATAAATTATTCTCTTCACTGTAGTGTATGGAAGGGAAATTTTAACATAAGAAGAGGTTTTTAAAGATTGGGGAAATGCACAAATCTAACTAAATCTAAGCTGTTTATCACATACACACCCCTATTATTTTTGTTTATTTTGATCACATTTATGGATTCCCAAGCTTATTTTAGGTGATAATACAGTGAGTGAAAACTCTCCTGAGACCCCGTCCACTTCCTGATCTCTCAATATTGGAAGAAAGTTAGTCATGGATTTTGTTAACAGTTCCTGTTTTCAGATAAGCACATAGAACAAAGAAACACAGGAATCTTATATAAATACATTAATTTATTTGATTCAGTCTAGATAATAGCCTTCTGTTTGTGTGAGAATGGTTTTATCACAATAGAAGTCTATCTTAGACTCACCTGATAATATTGCAGGTTAATCTCTTGTAGGGATTATATCAAATTTACTTATTTGAAAGAATCACTCTTTGTCATCTATAAAGCCAGTACATATAGTGACTATTATTGGTATATACAGATTAGAAAGGCAGACGTTTCTGCTCCTAAAACTAGTTTTCATTTCACAACAGAAATTTTATATCATGAAAAAAGATACACTATGCTAATCTTCTAGAAATGAATAATAAATAAGATGTTACAAACCTATTTTATTTAATAGAAATATTAAGAAGCCTTATCCTTTTCTATTTTAGCTGTTATTATGTACCTAACAAGAAGTGAATCTAGGAGGTAGAAGAGAATTATATATAAGTGTTTCAGAAATTTGGGAAGAAATGTGTCTATGATAAATCCCAAACAAGAAGGGAGGAGAAACAGTCAAACACAAAGGGCAGTACAGTGCATTAAAAGTTGTAGAGAAATAATGATTCAGAAGGAAAACACATTTAGAACAGAGGATTTTATGCTCAGAGCTAAGAAATAGCATCCTTGAAAACCTTGTGTCCAAGAGTGTAAAATGGGAGTTGGAACTTAAATTGATGACATGTTCTAATCAGAGATGTACGGGACAAATGAACAGGGAGTTCAATTAGGCTATTTTGCTACACACATGAAATTCAGATTCTTCTAAAGGTTTAGGAAATAATCTGAAACTACTGGCTAGAAGTTGAATTTTGAGGATTTGAGGTGGATTTTATTTACTAGGGATTAGAGTCCTTTGCAATTTGCTTACATGTTATCTGAGGGTTCATGTTATGGGGCAGTTTTATAAAAATTAATGTGAAAATACGTTTTTCTTAGAGCCTTGAAGGTACGGCTAACTGTAAAGAATGTTCTAGGGTTGAATTTGAAACATTTCCTCCTTAAAATAATAGTTAAATACAGTTTAACCCTCTTCCTAAAAAATGACAGCAATATAATTGAAGGAAATCCCTTTGCTCCTCACCACCTCGGCTGCATTAATGAAGGATGCGACTCCCTTTGGCAGAATTCCATTCCAGATGTTGCTGGGGATATTGTTATGTGGGCTCTCATTTAAAGCTCAGTGTGAGGACTGGTAAGAGGCTGTAGGTTTCACTTTAAAATTTGAAGCAGGGGTAAGAAAAGCAAAAGTTCCTGGGGAATATAGATAAACAGACAGACTAGATTTCTTGACTGCCCATTATTTGCCAGCACTACCCAGTTAATCCATAGACTAATCTTCTGAGGGAGGGATTATTATCTTTATTCTACAAGTGGGTCTCAGAGCAGTTAAGGAACTTGCCCAAAGTCACACAACTAGATGGTTCAACCTTGGTTCAACCCCACAATTTCATGTGGGATTCCAAAGTCCACCATCTTTTCTCTATGTAACACCGCCATTCAAAGAGAGGTTACTTAAAAAAGATGGAAGTACAGCGACATGCTAACATATGTATAACCTGCAAAAAGAGTATACTAAATGAACGAAGCCAGTCACAAAATGCCACATATCATGTGATTCCATTGATAGGAAATGCTCAGAAAGAGTAATCTACAGGGGCTAGAAAGTAGATTAGTGGGTGCCTAGGATTGGGGTTTGGAGCAGGGAGTAACTACAAATGCACTCGCTGTATCTTTCTGGAGTGATAGAAATGTTCCACAATTGAATTAGGGGGGTGGTTGTACAACTGTATATTTACAAAATAATCATTAAATTGCACACTTAAAATGAGTGAATTTTATGGTATGCCAAGCATACCTCAATAGGTGTTTTTTAAAATGGTATCACCATCTCTATGATTACCACTTGCCTTTTGTTGGCTTTATTCTTTTCTGCACATGTAACTTTTCATGAAAGGGGTCTGAATGAGGAAGAATAAAAAAAACCTGGTTATCCGTGCATTCATCAAGATGCCTGCCCGATAGCTTTCATCTAAGCACCAATGCTTTGCTCTGTGTAGGAATACAGGTGGGGGAACAGCAGGACTTGAAAGAATAAATGAATTCACTCATTTTTTACCAACACAGATCACCCCTTTTGTGCTTACCTACCTGGCATTGCGGCCAGAGGAGGAAGACAGTGGTGCAGGTGGGCAGGGTAGACAGAGGATGAAGCAGACTAAATAGAGAGGAAGAGAGAAAATCATGAGTCATAATTAAGCCATAAATGCTACATCCCTTTCATCCCTCACCAGTTGAGACCCTCAAGGAATGGTGACCACAGAGGAGAAAACATGAGCTATGTTTCTCACTAGCTGGTAAGAAGGCATCTTCCCAGACATAACTAGATGGTTCAACCTTGGTTCAACCCCACAATTTCATGTGGGATTCCAAAGTCCACCATCTTTTCTCTATGTAACACCGCCATTCAAAGAGAGGTTACTTAAAAAAGATGGAAGTACAGCGACATGCTAACATATGTATAACCTGCAAAAAGAGTATACTAAATGAACGAAGCCAGTCACAAAATGCCACATATCATGTGATTCCATTGATAGGAAATGCTCAGAAAGAGTAATCTACAGGGGCTAGAAAGTAGATTAGTGGGTGCCTAGGATTGGGGTTTGGAGCAGGGAGTAACTACAAATGCACTCGCTGTATCTTTCTGGAGTGATAGAAATGTTCCACAATTGAATTAGGGGGGTGGTTGTACAACTGTATATTTACAAAATAATCATTAAATTGCACACTTAAAATGAGTGAATTTTATGGTATGCCAAGCATACCTCAATAGGTGTTTTTTAAAATGGTATCACCATCTCTATGATTACCACTTGCCTTTTGTTGGCTTTATTCTTTTCTGCACATGTAACTTTTCATGAAAGGGGTCTGAATGAGGAAGAATAAAAAAAACCTGGTTATCCGTGCATTCATCAAGATGCCTGCCCGATAGCTTTCATCTAAGCACCAATGCTTTGCTCTGTGTAGGAATACAGGTGGGGGAACAGCAGGACTTGAAAGAATAAATGAATTCACTCATTTTTTACCAACACAGATCACCCCTTTTGTGCTTACCTACCTGGCATTGCGGCCAGAGGAGGAAGACAGTGGTGCAGGTGGGCAGGGTAGACAGAGGATGAAGCAGACTAAATAGAGAGGAAGAGAGAAAATCATGAGTCAGAATTAAGCCATAAATGCTACATCCCTTTCATCCCTCACCAGTTGAGACCCTCAAGGAATGGTGACCACAGAGGAGAAAACATGAGCTATGTTTCTCACTAGCTGGTAAGAAGGCATCTTCCCAGACATAATCAAAACCCTTTCTCAAATTATGTTTAGATCAGCAAAGCTCAGGCACAAAACAACCTTTTCTTTCAAAGGCCTAAGGTGTTTTCTGGACAGACCCAGTCAGGTGAATCCAAAGGCTCTGCTGACTGGCCAGATTTATCTGTGTTTCTACCTTTACAATGCAGAGCCTTCCTAGATATTAGGGCTAAGAGGGGCCTTAAATCACTGCAGTGTCCCCAAACTTGGTTTATTAGCAGAATTCCCCCTTTAATGTAAATGTGGAAAGACAGATTTAGAAGGCAGGTCAAAGTGGCATTGCTCTGCACTGCCCGGGGCGTGTGTGTGTCTATCAGGGTATGTGTCTGTCCAGACCCTGCATCCTTGGACTTCCTTCCCAACATGACTGCTGAGACACCTTTGAGGAATCCCTAGTGCTCTGTGGCACAGAGACTATTAATTTAGCACAACGTCCTTGGTTTATATCTGAGGAGTCTGAGATTTAAAGTGACTTTAGAATTGGCCAAATATGCCTGAAGATTTTGCAGTCAGGCACACCTCAGCTAAATACCTTCTTTTGTGACCTTGACGGAATGACTTAACTCTCTGAGTCTCAGTTCCCTCCTCTGTAAACTAGTTGTCATGCTCATTCATTGGGTAGCTGAGAGGACTTAGGGAACTGAATGTGTGATGCCAGGCTGCCGATGGCACTGCCAGGTCAAGGCTACTCTAAGACTGCAACTCAGGCCTCTTACTCCCTGATCTAGGGCCTGTTCCATCAACCACACCACCTCCTGAGAAGGAAGAGAGACGAGCACAGCACACAAGCTAGAGGGACCCAGAGCAAACCCCATGAGTGTTATGTTGTGGCTGACAAGCTGGTAGTTA